CTATAAGTGTCGATCTGGGTTTCCATGATAAGATTATCTGGATACGAAATGAGAGTGTGACAGCATTCTGCAAACATATACGATCCTGTTGCTTGTTCTAGGAATTCCAAATCGTTTCCCCTCTGTAGTTGCTCATCATCTTTTCAATCTGCTCCGGCCATGCTGCTTTTAAGAGCTTTTCCGAGTTATGATCTGCCAACCCTCATAAGTCACAAAACTTTTTGATCACTAATAATCATGACTTACTATTTAACAGAATCTAGGACCTCATGTGCCCAAAAAAGACGCAAGTACTTCCTCTCAAACATGTTGATCCTTCTGTGCAGATTGATGACGTGATTAACCAAGCTCAAACAACCAGGGCTGCCTTGGGTTCTCAAAGAGCTTTATTTGGTGATGTTCAAGGAAAAGTGAAACAATTGGGTGACAAGTTTCCTATCATTCGTGGGCTAATTGGTACTACTATTTTGGGGACCATTTCTGCTATCAAATTGCTTAGTTAAAAATAATATGCTGCTTACATCATTGCTGATCTTTGCAGGTTCAATCAGAAGGAAGAAATCAAGGGATACACTCATTCTATCTGCAGTCATTGCTGCTTGCACTTTGTTTCTTATTATCTATTGGCTTTCTAAGTAATAGATATATTTGTTGATACAAGAAAGTTCAGAAGATAATGTTTTCTAAGGAATTTTGCGCTTGTAGTCACTGCTATTTCCCCAAAAGCGATAATCTTGAGCTCGTGATTAAAAAGCCTTTCTGTTTTCTTCTAACTTGCTTTTATAACAATATATTACTTTTGTTCTCTCTTATTCCAACTTCAAATATTTACCAACTACTGCTAGAAAGTTTCTTAATGTGATAGGTTCAGGCTGCTACGTTTGGTGTTAGGATTATTTAACATTAAATTCATGATCAAATTTATAGCTTCTACGGCTGTGCTATGCTCATAACAATAGGCTGCCTCATTCTTCAAATTAAGGTCATATTTTGTACATGAGTTATTCTAGTAGCGTGTAATTTATGACCTGCCTTCCATTATATACTTATCTTTTGATTAATTAAATTCCCATGACTTAAGCTGTCCAGCATTAGAGTTAGTTGTTTAGGAAAAAGACTGAAATGACAGGTAATACTATAAGACAGTTAATGTAACTACTTTTCTACCACCCAAAGTGTGGCGCATCAAGATTTTTCCAACCTTAATTAGTGGTTTGGTATTTTTGTCTTGAATATGGAGGGATCTACTAAGTGTGAATTTCAAGTAGTCAAATTAGTGAACTTCGAATATCTACTGGTTATACTTCAAATATCGGTTGGCTAAACTTGAATATGTAACTACTTTTAATACTAGTACAATTGTTCTTTCTATGTTTCATATGCATTCATTAGTTGGTGATTGAGGAAAGCGAGAGTTGTATATAATACTCATTTACATCCAAGATGGACCAAGCACGATATATCGCAAACCACTTCCAATTTTTTTATTTTTTATTTCAGTCAAGAATTTAGTACTTGCGTGAGTACTAAATTCAACACAGAAAAAATAAGATTGTAAGTCACTTCAAATGTTTTTTGAGTCCGAGATTGAACAATTTTGTAAGTGAAGAATTTAGTAGTCGTGTGGAAAAAAGGGAGTGGGGTAACCGTTCAATTCAATAATAAAATCACTTTCCCTACTCACATGCATTGAAAAGAGGATACAGACAATTATAGCACATAGAAAGCCAAACGCTGCACACTGCTCAGTCCTTATCTCCACAAAGTACAAAGGCGTTTTTCTTACTACAAATTTAGCAAAACATAAAAGTATGGCCAATTAGTCATTGCCAAAACATAAACACGTAAGAAGTTTGGCTTCTGTAGTAAACACTGTACATCATGCATTGCATGGAAACAAGTCATACCATTCCATACAATACAATGTTTTCTTGCTATAATTAAGAAGCCCTTCACAGTACTCTATGCTTTCTCTTTTTAATTTATTATTACCAGAGGAGAGAGGCATATATTATAGCTACCCTCTACCCAATATTTTCGTACGTACTTTTTCATGTTAAAAGAAGATGCTAAAGAATGGGTGTGAGAGTGAGATGCCAAAACATATTTAAGCAGTCTTGACAGGTTATTAAATAAGCTTAGGTTACTTTATTGGTTTCCACTACGTTTTCACACACTTGGAGTTGGAGGTCTTTTCTGTGAACATTTACAGTTTCTAACATCTGTTATAGGGAGAAAGAGATGCCCAGATGCCAAAAGAAATTGGTAGACTTTTTCTCCATAGATTGTAGACTGCTCTATTAATGCAGAATGTGCTTATCCCCAAAGAAAAAAAAAAAAAAAAAAAAAAATGAAAAA